AAACGAAGGAAAACTGTCACGGTACGGTCAGGCATCAATTCAACATTACAGTCATACTATCAGTACATTACACTTTTGCCCGATATATTATGCTTCTTCAATAATTCAACATAGATATAAAATAATTATGCCGGACTTTTGATTTTGTACAATGCTTACAACAAAACTAATGATATACTTCAAAGTATTTTGCTTATAATTCATCCGCAAAAAGTATTAAAAAACAGTCTCGTTCGGACTATGTACCCCTTTAAGTTAAAATCGTCATTATGTACAATGGTCCTGTAATTTTTGTTTGTCCGAATAGTTCTATGTTTAAGACATTCTTTAATGAATTCCTTATTTTATAAGCGTTCGTTAGGTACAGTTATTGGATTCATTGCTGTATCCTGGTCTGACATGTGTACATCGAGAACATGTATGTACGTGGTATGTGTTTAATGAAACGAGAGTGAAACAAACAGTTGAATGTTTTGGCGAACAGTATCCACGAGTTACTTAAAAAATTATTAAATTAATGAACGTCTGCCCTGAACATATTTTATGAAATAACGCAGATACAATTAAACCCTATGCGATCGTAATAGCTATGTCTAACAAAATATGAGCATGCCTAGATGCGTTACAACCGCAAAGGATTATTATTTATTACTTGTACATAATTTAAAAAAAAGTATTTTTCTGAAAGAAAGAAATTTAAGGCTCTCCGCTTCCCTTACGATAACTAATTATGAATTATAAGACATTTAATTATTTGCACACGCGTGTGATATACGTACATATTAAGGTGATGTGAACCCTCCCTCAAATCGGTCGATTCGAATAAGATATTTTTTTTTAAGGGTAATTGTATCGAAGCGTCTGAATCTTTGACATGACTCGTGAACACCTAAGAATTGTCCTGACACTTTAAGAATTTGGATTTTTGAAAAAAATTGTTAGGCGTGTGATATACGTACATATTAAGGTGATATGAACCCCCCTCAAATAGGTCGATTCGAATAAGATATTTTTTTTTTAAGGGTATTGTATCGAAGCGTCTGAATCTTTGACATGACTCGTGAACACCTAAGAATTGTCCTGACACTTTAAGAATTTGGATTTTTGAAAAAAATTGTTACGCGTGCGATATACGTACATATTAAGGTGATGTGAACCCCCCTCAAATCGGTCGATTCGAATAAGATATTTTTTTTTTTAAGGGTATTGTATCGAAGCGTCCGAATCTTTGACATGACTCGTGAACACCTAAGAATTGTCCTGACACTTGAAGAATTTGGATTTTTGAAAAAAATTGTTACGCGTGCGATACATGTACATATTAAGGTGATATGAACCCCCCCTCAAATCGGTCGATTCGAATAAGATATTTTTTTTTAAGGGTATTGTATCGAAGCGTCTGAATCTTTGACATGACTCGTGAACACCTAAGAATTGTCCTGACACTTTGAAAATTTGGATTTTTGAAAAAAATTGTTAACTTAGCCCAGACCGGATCCAAAATGGCATCGAGCTCTCATATGTGCCCATAATTATGAAAGTGGTCTAAGTCATATATTTTTTGTTTCGAAATTACATTGAATTAATTTCGTTTGAAATAATATGGCGTGANGAGTGTAAGGCGAAGATGAGAGTGAAAGTTTGCATTGAAAGTGGAGAAATAGAAGGATCTTCGGATAGCGAAGAGGAAAACTTCTTGAAGGGGTGTCGTAGCAAGAAAAGGATGCGCATTCTTTCTAGTTCCGACTCCGAGGATGAGAGGACGAGCATTCCAATTATTTCTGTGATAATTTTTAAAAAAGGACTTTTTACTTATTAATAATTTATTTAAACGTAAAGCTTAGTGTTGTTTAATTCAGACTTAATTTGAATAAATCGATTTTTGAAAGAAAATGCGTGTTTTCGTTTACCCGTCAATTTGACGGGTGCTCGTAGAAACAGGTATATAAAAAACGCCCGTAAACCTAGTGTTAAAGTGTCAGGACAATTGTACGACAATTTAGAACACTCTCGTAATCGAGAAACTCGCATTTGAACGGGATAAAGGCAAAAAAAACTGTTTTATACGCTTCTGTATTAAAACGAAGGTAACACGAGGTCTCGGAGAGAAAATTTAGTTGACACTAAAATTACAAATGGCTCAGGGTGGCACTCTGTAGTCAATTAGGGCATAAAAACGATGAATCCAGGAGATTTCTAGAGTTTTACTTCGATTTCTTTATAATTATTGTACGAAAATGACATAAGGAGTACGCCATTTAGTACAATACCCAAAATAATTTGACACGACTGTCAATATAAATACGAACGTCGGCAACGTAGGAATTGGAAAGCATCTTTTTTACCGACGTCGATCAAATTTCTCGACGTATTTCGCTTCACCTTGACGTAAAAAATGCGTCAAAGGTATTTACATCATACCATTTACATATATGTTCTTGCTACGTGTGTCCGAAACATTTCTTGAATATTTCAATAAATCAACGATCCATGTTAAAATTATTGACATCCGATGGAAATCGATGAAATTGTCTAGAACCACGTAAAAACGTGCAGAGACATCCCACCAAGCGCACTATATTACAGTTACATAACACTGGAATAACATGATATATAACGAACGTTATTCAAAAGTAACATTGATATCATATAATATGAAAATATTACCGTTCCGTAACATTGTTCCAAACCTAGCAGTGTTCCATGTAACCGATATGTTATGTGTGTTATATTAATCGTTTTATAACAGTGTTATCTAACTGCGTAGGAAATAGCGATATACGTTTTATGAACATATAACATATATGTTACATTACATGTTACAGGGACATATGTAACGGTTAGATTGTTGTTACGTAACTGTGTTTGGTGGGACATATAATGTACAGAATAAACGATGTGCATATATTTCTTGCATGGTTTGTCATCTTTTTTCTTGGTTCTTGCGACAAATTCTTCAACAATGATGTCAATATTTTATACACTGCACCCGAGCGCCAGTGACAATTATACAAAGCATACACGGATGTATATATATGTTACCGTGAATGACCGAAATTGGAGAATGTCGACTTTCACCGGTGAATGTCAACAGATACCAAATACGTCGGTGAAAGATCGAATATTTCATTACATTGTTGTACAGTCGGACCCTCCCCAGTGTGTGTCGACAATCACACACCGGTGAATGTCAACATTTACCGGTGTAAGTCAGAAATAAGGTTATTTAGCGAATATTTTGGACATACACGAAGCGACTATGTGAATGTTGACATTCACCGGTGAAAGTCGACATTCTCCAGATTTCGGTGTTTCACCGTAACATATATACATCAGAGACTGCTAATAATTCTCCTGTCGTCCTAGTTTATAGTAAAGAGGTTCACGAATTCTTCTGTGGTATTAATTGGCCTAATCGTATTGAATTCAACTGCGACTGAAGTTCAGTGAAATTGAAACTCCTGATTTGAATAAATGCGTCTGTGAAAAGGTATAATTTACCTTTCCTATCATATAATGTTCCATGTATGTCAAGCGCCGAAGAAGTTTTAGGTGTTAAAAGGATTACTGTACTTTAGAAAATCTATTATCAATACTTAATATTCCTTTCGTTGAGAGCCGCGCAGAATATTTTTCATAAGTATCTATTTACATTCCTCTAAGTATAAGCATTCCCCAAAGCACCTAAGTAAGATGACTATTTAATAATTTTGTTAACTTTAGAACATGTGCTCAGAATATATAGTTTGATTTAAGGGCCTCAATTACTCAAATTGTTTGCTTACTATTTTTTAAACACCTAGATGTCCAAACTTTCGCTTAAAAATCAGGACGCAACATTCGTGTATTTATAAATCACATTGAAATAATTAATTGAAACAATATCAATATTGTACGATTACAATTTCATTTCCCTTCTCCTCACGTTCTAGTCGCAAATATTAAAATTCGACTACAAATTAGGTATTTAAGGATCATGTGGACTATCGGATTTTGAATCCTTACAATTTTTAATTTTTCTACCATTCCAGAATTGAATGGCATAATTAAAGCCGGTAATATAATAACTTAAAAGAATATTAAAAAATAGCAGACATAATTCTTTCCAACAGCATTTTAAGGTGAAGTGGAACCCCCTTCAAATCAGTCGATTCGAATACACTTTTTTTTAAGGGTATTAGACCAAACTGTCCGAAACTTTGACACGTCACTTCTGTTCATCTAAGAATTGTCCTGACACATTGAAAATTTGGATTTTTCAAACAAATTTTTTAACTCAGTCCAGACCAGAACCAAAACGGCATCGAGCTCTCATATTTCGATCAATATACAATTATCGAAGGTTCTGATATGAGAATCAAAAGGGTGAGGACAATTTTACGACAATTCAGAACACTCTGGTACTCGATAAACTCGCATTTGAACGGGACAAAGGCAAAAAAAGTGTTGTACGCGCTTGTATGCCAAAACGATGGTAATGCGAGGTCTCGGAGTGAAGACTTAATTGACCTGGAAATCACAGATAGCGCAGGGGGTCCCTCTGCAGTCAATTAAGGCCCCAGAAAGCACGAATCTAAAGGAGTTCTGGAGTTTTACTTCGATTTCTTGATATTTATTGTACGGAAACGACATATGGTGTACGCCAATTTGGTACAATATCCAATATAATTCGACCCAGCTGTCAATATAAAAACGAACGTCGGCAACGTAGGTATTTTTAAAAATCTTCTTTATCGACGTCGATCAAGTTCCTCGACGTGTTTCACTTCACCTTACCCACTTGGGGGTTCAGCTGCCTACCGAGCATATTGTACGCCTGTTGATTGCTCAGCCTGCAGATGTCGCCCTAATCCTAAAATCGAGGCCAACAGAAAATAAACGACATACATTCATGTTTGAATTATAGTTCACAATCACCGTTCGTTATAACCCGCAATTAGTAGTCTTAAGTTCTAAATATATTAGTTCGCGACGATACAAAGGTAATAACATTTTTCAGCTTTTCGACCATCCATGTTTTAATTCCACTTAATACATTTAAATAATTAAACATTATTAATATTCATATCAGCTTATCAGTTCCCATATTAACTAATATTCTTTTAACGACCAATTTGGCAGTGTGTTTACAAAGGGATTTAAGATTACAAGCAAAGGCTGATAAGGCAATTAAATATCCACAGTAATTAATGTTAATCCTAGATCTACAATGCATCTTCAGTCATATATTACAACTTTAAAAGTGTTACAATTCATATAATTTTGCAAATTAAATCTATTGGAAAGTCTCTCGATGAAATTTAATCAAATGAAATCGAAATAAAAATTATCTTGAGGAGTCATTCTTAAGAAGTTTCGGCTCTTCTAATAAATATACACCCTACCTATAAAGATATGAACCCATTACCGTACAAGTTAGCTCAGCAAAGTTCGGGCTAAACCGGAAGGGGGACGATATTTACCGAACGGGCCGAAGTAATTCGCGGACACGCTCGAAAATCGAACCAAAATGGCGGGGAAAGCATGAACATATACATATATAATATATGGCCCGCTCATTGTGTGCCGCTGACAGAACGGTGAGAGAACGAGAACTGTCGTGATCGGATCTCCGTTTGTCTGCGCTGATCGAATGCGTAGTAAGTACTTGACAGTTGGTTGACAGCAATACACACATACGCAAATTATTTCACTGCGCACTCCTGTTGCATGAACAAGCATAGGCCCGGTCGCGGCAGTTCTTTGTTCTCTCACCGTTCTGTTAGACCCAGTCACCTCCTTGTTCAAGTATAAGGAGGGAGCGGTCCATATATTGTACAAGTATAAGGAGGGAGCGGTCCATATATTGTACAATGGCGGACATGAATGCGCCTCCCTTACAGATACGACATCGCCTGTGCTGGATGGGAGGGCATTGATGTCTCCCAGTGTACGTCCATGGGGGAAAGATACTCACAGAACGGAAACATTTGTTCCATTGAAAACTCTCACTACGAGTCGGACTCGTAATGTAAATGTTTGGTCCGAAATTGTTATCACGAATAGGACTTGTGATATATATGTTCGGCTCAAAATTGGTATCATGAGTTAGGCTCGCCAAACTACAGCAAGGGGTTAATATTGGATATTCCAAATTTCGCGAATCAAGATAATGAAACAATGTTCTCCGTGAAACACTAGAATAATGAAAAAGCAACGTTAAAAACATTGCATCAATTTTAACAACAAAGTATATTAAGTTCAATTAATCAAAAAGTATGGTTGTGTAAACTTTATGCTTATTACTAGCACATAAGCTATTGTTATTAAATTGGTGCGGTAGCATTGTAGTATATCTGAGATTGAAAAGTGCGACACGTCTGACAACATACCTTATTGAAGGGAAAAAAAAAAAAGAATGGAATCGTAGAAAATGTAATGTGATGATATGGCACCTATCCATATACCTTAATTATCCACGGCTCCGTATCGTAAGCCCTTATTTTGATGATTTTAATGTATTCGATACAGATAAATTAATAAATAAATTAATTTATTAATTTCCTAACGTTTCATGAAGAACGTTGTATACTTCCATTTGAAAACAATGTCGTACAATCAGGGAGACCCTGTACAATGCGAGTCTGGTATTATGATACAATAAATTCCTGAGTGTTTTAAAGTATTTCATTAGTATCTACTTGCTCCCATAATTGAGCAACGTCGATCATTGCATACGCAGCATGCTGCCTTTATCAATCGGTATTGGCCCAGTATAATAACGCCATAATAGACTGCTACCACGCTTCAGCTGGTTCCTCGAGGAAAGATGGCTCCAGCACTCCAACCAATTTTCATAAATTGGCATCTGTGGGGGAAGACCGGCCGCTAACCTTATGAGCAAGAATGATACAAATTATATTATATGATTACATAACATATTGCCTATGTACATAGGGTATTCTAGAATGAAGGTCCAAAAAATACCAGACGTAATTCCCGACACAAAATGAAGTAGAAAAGTACAACATGCATTCAAAGTGCACAGTATGCGTGATAGAAGTGTTCCAAACACCAATCAGATTGAACGTTTAGACAATCGCGCATCTATAGATCACATAAATCGTTTCAAGACGGACAGTCAAATAGTTAAAGTGGGGTGAATGTGATACATGAGGAATCAGTCGTTTATGAAACTTTTCTTCAAACTATAGGTACCCAGGGTTGCAAAAAATTCAATGTAAAAATAATGCATTATTTCTTTAACGGATAATGTGTGTGACGTGGCATTTTGGCGCACGCGTCACAAGGCCAACATTGTTACTTTCTTTGGTTAACGGCGTTCACCGCCAAAGTGGGGACGAAGACTTCCACCGCTAGATGGTATTAGCATCGAATTCGGTGGGAGGTAACCAAAACGTACTTTCTCGCTCGAATGAGGGAGACGCGACGCATAATGGGCGGTGTTTAGCAACGGGCGAAAAATTTGTGTGTATTTTGCACGTACAGGACTCACACAATGGAGATTAACGGCGTTCACCACCAAAGTGGGGACGATGACTTCCACCGCTAGATGGCATTAGCATCGAATTCGGTGGGAGGTAACCAAAACGTACTTTTTCGCTCGGATGAGGAAGACGCGACGCATAATGGGCGGTGTTTAGCAACGGGCGAAAAATGTGTGCGTATTTTGCACGTATAGGACTCACACAACGGCTAGACGCCTCTGGACTAGGCGCCGAAACGTGTGTGACTCCCGGCCGCACGCAACGGTTGCTAAGGAATGCCCAAATTCCTCGCGAGAAACTCGAAAATCCTGAAAAAGGTGCTCCACGGGGACAACGATTTTGAGCGTATTTCTCAACCGATTGACCTCAACGAGTGCTCGTTTTAAAGATAAAACGTTGACGTGTGTTTATGTGGGAGCGATTTTCGATCAAGCACCTCCTTCCTAGGTAAAAGGGCATTGAAATTATGTCGTTGCACTTTTTTATATGAAAATGACCACTTACCGAAAATCGCTCCCATATAAACACGGGTCAACATTTCATCTTCGATATGAGCACTCGTTAAAAGAAGATTTTTCTAAATTCCTACGTTGCCGACGTTCGTTTTTACATTGACAGCTGTATCGAATTATATTGGATATTGTCCCAAATGGCATACTCCACCTGTCGTTTTCGTATAATAATTATAAAGAAATCGAAGTAAAACTCCAGAAATCCTCTGGATTCATGCTTTCTGTGGCCCTAATTGACTGCAGAGGGACCCCCTGCGCCATTTGTGATTTCCAGGTCAATTAAATTTTCACTCCAAGACCTCGTATTACCATCGTTTTAGTATAGAAGCGCATACAACACTTTTTTTGCCTTTATCCCGTTCAAATGCGAGTTTATCGATTTCCAGAGTGTTCTAAATTGTCGTAAAATTGTCCTGACCCTTTCGTTTCTCATATTAGAGCCTTTGATAATTGTATATCGATAGAAATATGAGAGCCTGACGCCATTTGAGTTCTGGTCTGGGCTAAGTTAAAAAATTTTTTCCAAAAATCCAAATTTTTATTGTGTCAGGACAATTCTTAGATGATCAGAAGTGATGTATCAAAGTTTCGGACAGTTTGGTTTAATACCCTTAAGAAAAAGTGTTGTATTCGAATCGACTGATTTGAAGGGGGTTTCACATCACCTTAAGCTCGATCGGTTTAGAAATACGTTCGGAATCGTTGTCCCCGTGAGGCCCTGCAAAATCGCTGGAGTAGTGAGCGCCCTTAATAACTTGCAAAATTAGCCTCATTCGAACGAACGCTTGGATAAGTGTCTTATCTTAGCTTCAGATTAATCCGTGTAAAGTTCTATAAAATCCCTGAGCCAATTGGTGCGATCTCTTCTTGTAAGGGGTTGTAATATATTCTAAATTGAAAGTAGCTGTGTGTGTGACTTGGTGATAGACATAAGAGATAAGAGTAAAATGTAACATTTTGTAATTAAAAACATTATCGAGCAATAGGTTAATACATAAAACTTACGGTTAAAGAATGTAATATTGATCCAGAAATAAGTTAAATAGCAAGATGAGCTAATATTATAAATCATTATAATTTCATAATTCCCAACTGAAACCGACCGATGTTATATTCAAATGAAAAACATAACTACCCCGAATTGTACAACAAAATTATCCCCAATCATGAATGAGTTTGAGGACAATTGAAATAGTATAAAACCTACATTTGACTTACCCGCAGTTATTTACAGCCATACAATGTGACACGACCAAGAATGGATACGTAACAGTCGTTGCCAGGAACTGAAAAAATAATGTTAATTCTTAAGTGATTTTTCTGCAATAAAACAACTATTAATATATTTTTTAGTAACTGAATAAATGATTTTCCCATCCTTAAACATGTTGCCCTTAAAAATGTATTTAAAATATTTCGCGCTGAGCTATGTAAATTATTTTTCAGGCTGCATTGGTCACTGGTAATTCACGTTCTGGTATTTCAATGTACATTATAATTGTGCACCAACATATAATATTTGGAATTATTTCATGATTTTGGTTCTTACTATAAGCAAAATATCAAACGGACTAAACAAAAATTCCAGCATGGGTTGAAATGTGTCAATATTTTTTCAAGTTCCCAATATTATGCCGCGCAAAATAAGAATACCTGAAAAGCTTATGTTTCATACAGTTTACTAATTACAACCAAAACATTAAGGTGACGGTAAACACGTCAAGGTACTTGATCGACGTCGGTAAAAAAAAGGTTTTTCTAAATACCTTTTTTTTTTACCGACGTTCTTTTTTATATTGCCAGCTGTCGAATTATATTCTATTCTATTAAATGGTAGTATTACACCAATACTTAAGGTGATATGAAAGGCGACGAGAAATTTAATCGGAGTCGATAAAATAAAATTCATCAATACCCGTTTCGACGGTAACGTCATTTTGGATATTCGAGTGGATATATGAACTGGCGTGCTACGTCACCGATATTTATATTTATGTTGAGGTCTGTTACACTCTATATTAAAAATTATACGTCATGAAACACTCAGTGGGTCATTTCAGTAAAATGTTTACCCTCAAAACACCTTCGGTGTACAAAAACTTAGCCAAATACATTTATCTTTATTCAAATAATTGCAAAAATAGCTCAAATTGCTCCCTTCCCATGAAAGTTCAAATCAACTATTTTTGCCAAATATATTAGAACATTCATTCTATTAAAGTCTCAGCTAAAATCTTTTTGCCAAATGTCACAGTACATTTGGTTTCACGTATGTTGTATGTACAAGATTTTCTGTTTCCTCAAACTGAAGACAAATATTAAAAACTATATCGAAACAAATAAAAAAATTAGAAACTAAACTTGAAAACAATATTTTATTTGTCGAGCACCAAAATGATCATATGCTAGGAGTATACTTGGTTACGTACTGTAACTGCCTACCGTTTCTTGATAAAGAGAGTAAAGTAAAAGAAATCAAGAAATCCCTTGGATTCGGGATTTTTAATATTCTAATTGACCAACAGTACTGTCACATTTAGCAGCAACTAAATTTTTGTTATAGGAACATTTACAGAGCACGTGTTGCTTACTGGATATCCAAAAATTTCACGACACATATTTCTCACTCGATATTTCCCACATGAATCTGTAATGTTTAATTACTATAGCTTTCTACATTATTATATCAGCGATCTGAATGTCTTTGTCTTCGATTCTAAGCTTTTAAGAGGTGCAAAATATTAAAAATGAGTTCGTCCCAAATAGCATTAAATATCCTATAAATACACTTCATTTCGACTTCAAACTTGCAAAGCAATAAATCCTTATAAATCTACCGCATTTAGTAGATAAGTAGTTTGTGCATAATTATTTTTTACATTGTAGTGCCTTTTTTGAAATCGGTGTTTCTTTTTTTTATTACAAAATTTTTATATTTCAGATGATCCTGTCACGAATTCTCATAACGTCAGTCAAGAGATATACTTTCTATGGGCCAATAATGAATTATATATATTTTGGGGCAAATATATTAAATCCAACTAGACTCATTATTTATCACTGAAACATGTATTACTAAAGGAACCAAACTTTTCTACCTTACGTTGTTTAGTTTTTTTATTGATATTATTTTTCAGACATCCGTTTTCTAATATTCCACAAATATTGATTTATAAATATCTATTTACCAATATTTTGTTAATATAGGGTGACTCATCAGGTATGCCAGATTTCCCATGTACCTAAGTAGGTGGGAACTAATAGACATTCACAATATTTTCAAACATTGTTCCATATCCTCCGAATATTAAGTAATATTCAGTGCTGTCTGAGATAAATAAAAATTTTTTTTGCTTTGAAATTTCATGATTTTCAAGACCCTTATAGGATCTCCATAATCACAGGCTAAAGTTTTAAATGATTTAGTACATCCAGTTCAGAAAAAAGTTTTATAAACATTTTACCGCTCCAAAGGCCATTATCAATTCACCTTAATAATCTGATTTGAATATTCAAATATTACAATTTCGAGTCGTTTCTTGCATTTACTTTTTAAAATAGTAAATATAGCATATTAATACAGTCATACGATTACAAAACATATTTTCGTCCCCTTAGTAAAAAGTTACTTACTGTCATAGTAGAGGTGGTATAAGCTCTTAGCTCACGATCCCGGATAATATACTTATTGATTGCATACGAGGAGGTAGCAACCAGCACCATAGTGGAGGCAGTGGCAATTAGACGAGGTACCAATCCAGCATAATATCCTACGATACCATTGTCCTTATAAATTTGAATGAACGACTTAAATATGCCACTGTAAATACAGAAATAATATTAAAAAATACCATTCATTTATCATGACTGAATAAATAGTACATACTAAAATAAATGACATACGTGTATTTTGTTTCACCCCCTACAAATTGTGCCATCATGCGCAATGTTATGACATCGAGAGGATGACTAACAATTATGCCTACGATTCTACTAAAAAATTCTTTTAAAAATTCTTTAATACATCTCCATCTCCTGCAAACACAGAAAAATACGTTGTTATTGAACAGCCACTAATGTGAATCTAACAAAATTTACTTTTTATATTAAGCATAGACATTCCTAAATTTGAATTCACCATACCATATGGGTATAATACCTTTCATTTTTGGGTAAATTCTCATCATCCTCATCATCTACCTGACTATCAGGTACATTTGTAAATGTGAAGCACTCCCTAGTCTTTTCAACGGCAACTGCACTAAGGGTATAAGAGCAGAGTTTTGGAGCAAAGCCTCGATAACATCCCGTAAATCCATCAACACTTTTAATATATTTGACTGCAAACCAATAAATTTATTATAAATGGAAAATATCCAATAGCAAGGGTAATGAATAAAAAAATGAATATTTTACACGGCACATTAAGAAGCTACATTTTTGAAATCATTAATAAAATAATCAAAAATGTTCATTTCAGGTATCGGATGCGAAAGGACATCAATCCATTATGGAACCAGTGTCCCTAGATGGATTATATCGGAATATCTTGACAGACCGCATAGTGTGAATAAAAGGTAAGCATTACTTTATATTAAATATGAACACAGGTAATATTACGAAACATTTTATATATAATCTTTGTTACCAAGAAAATTTGGAACATAAATTACAAAAATCTTAACATGTTGACAAACTTAAACATGTTATTTCAAATGTATTGCTTTCCTATTTATTTATTTTTAATACATCATTTATACAAAATATCTATTTTCCTTCCTTTGTATGAACAATGATATAAAGTGATCAATTAACAAAGCAAAGAAAACTTAAAGCATCAGAAATATCACATTATAATATAAATTTATAATCAAAATATTAATGATTTAAAAAATTCTACTCTATCTTATAAAAGTTAATGTTAATTACTGGAAATGCAATAACTGATCGGAAATGAAAAGTAAGTAAACTACAGACTCGCAGCAACAATTCTATATGGGTCAGCCAATCTTGATTTGTTAGTAGGACTAGTTTCTATGATTAGACCAGCTTCGGTGTCAAAGGTCAATTGGTATATACTTTATTTACTTAAAGTGCAACTTACCATATGAAAAGATATTTGGCAAACTCAATGCAGGCTGACCGAACAACCTGACAGTTGGTCTTGGTGGAATAGGTTCGTGTCCAATCTGAAAAAGTGAAAAAAGGTCAGAAGTCAGTTCATTTCACACAGCTAACCTCGACGTTTTAACTCGGTATACATAAGTTTACCTGTATTAGTACTTTGGCATATTCTATTGGGTGCGAAACCGTATTCATCACCATTCGAATTGCGATATTAGACCATAATGGATCATCTCGCGATCGAATCATATTTTGAAACTTTCAATACCGGTTCCCAAATTTTGTCTCAACCAGTCTTAACCAAAGAGTAACAGCAGAGAGTAGCAAAGAGTGCCCATATCCGGGGTTTCGCCGCTATTCGCGAACCGCTGCCACCTAGCGGCCATGCATCGAAACAGTTCCGCACTTCCATGGACATGATTAGAGTTCAAAAATTCTCGGTAACATTAAATTGGAGAAGGTAACTGTGAAACATACCGTAAGTTACCGGGAACGTTGAGAATTTAAGAGAACGTTAATTTTGTTATTTATATTTTAGGTTTCTTCGTTTAAATAACTTTTTTTTTCAATCAACATGAAAGTTCAAGCTAAAGAGTAATAATTACTATTAGAAAATATTGATTATAGGGTCGTATTTACCTCCAGCTAAAAATATTCACGTATGTACAACTTCACGGAAAATTCCATGCGATTTGTTTCAAACGAACTGATGTTTCATTCTGCGACGAAGCGAATGGGAGGTTTTGATTGGCTACGGAGAACGTACAACGGAAATTCCTCTCTACGATGTTTCTCTATAGCTAATCGAAATCTCTCGTTCGCTCTGTTGAAAAATTCAAATTCTCATAATTTCTCGATAAAAAAGGCTTTGGAGAAATGACCGATAAGTTACCGGGAATTTCTCTTCGTTTCTGACGTAACTTACTGGATTTAGAACTCTAGACAAGATTCCCGTTCCGCATCAAATTCAGGCATGAGAATTTTTTCGTTCCTACCCCCTGAAATATATAGTAATCTGGAACGCTCACCATAGAGTTCGGCTCGAGATATCCTTCAAGTCATCCCCACTACTAGGTGCACTACACATTTTTTTCTTCATAGATAACTATCCTTAGATAATTATGGAGTACAATAATTAAAGGTAAGTAGTGCGAAATGTAATGCATGATTTTACTATACAGAAAGTCTGATTTGTCATTTAATATCTAACTATTGTCAAGTACCAACAAAATAATTAAAAATCAAAAAATTATATAACTTTGGATAAAATTGCGTCATTTTTTTTATTAAATGTATGAAAAATTAACATTATTTTAAGGTAACTGAAATTATAACAGTAATATAACATGTTACCTTACTGAGTGGGAAATAATAACTAACTAACTTCCAGGTTACTTTTATGCTACAGAACATGTTAGTTTCGACAATGTAACATTTACCCAACAGTTATATAACAGTGTTCACTGGGGATTGATTGGCTATACTTCAATTAGTTATTACAGAAAATTTATGCACTGTAGGAAAAAAATAGTACAGAGCTTTTCGACTCCTTTATCAACAAGGATAGCGCTGAATAAACCGTGACTACTACTTCTGTTACATATTATATATTTATGTAGTATGCATATGAACTATCCATATTATTAATGATTCTTCATATAGGGATTCCGAGCTTGAATTGAAGCAATCGGAAGAACTATTCTTCTTACCGATCCGCTACACTGATAAAAACCGCAGAGTTTGTGACAAACATTAGTGTTCACCAAACATTTCCTACAAACCAGAATAGAAGCAATAAATGATAATTTTCAATTACAGTTCTTTTATATACGTAAAAAATAATGTAATTTAGAAAAATACAAAGTTTTGAATACTCCGCGCAAAATGATGTAGGGCTCACAAGCGCTACGACGGTTTAGTCCAGAACTACTGGTATAATTTGGGGGTAGCGGAGTCGCCAGTCTATAAGTATCTCTTGTCTATGGGTAGATTGATTCTGGAGTCCGATGAACAAATACGGGCAAGGTAGTGATCAAATATATCGTGGGTGACACTGAAAATTGCACAGGACTTTTACGTGCGCGGGACTGACAAGTGTTTCCATGAATTAAAAGGTGATCGTAAATGTGTAACCATTTTGGTGTACCACTGGTCGAGTGACAACGATGCAGGCTGTTGAATTTAGTGTTTAACGGAAGCATGACTATATTTAGCGGATGACGATTAGTCGTTTTGGATTGTGACGACACTTGGGCGCTCTGTTTATAAACCTTGTAAAATTCGTCAGCCAAAATGGAGGATATATTCCAATGGTGTCGCGAAGGAAACGCTATGCAGATTCGCGTTTGGTTGGATGACACGGAGCACGACATGAATCAAGGGTATTAAACTATGCTCTTTTGGTAGTAACTTCGTTTCCAAAAAGACCTTTATTTTTCCTCGGATTGATTTTCCCATCGTCGATTCTATAATGATTATGTTGAACGAGTTTATTATTCGCATTTGGTTGGATGACACGGAACACGACATGAATCAAGGGTATTAAACTATGCTCTTTTGGTAGTAACTTCGTTTCCAAAAAGACCTTTATTTTTCCTCGGGTTGATTTTTCCATCGTCGATTCTATAATGATTACGTTGAACGAGTTTATTATGATCAGATGTTCAATTTTTTAATAATCAGGGAATTATAATAATTGTATAGACTTTTCCTTTTCCATGAATTTCCAGCGTCTCTTGGAAATTTTAAACAAGGTTCATCTTTGAGTCTAAAATGGCACTTTCCGCTTCCATTTGAATTTCGCAGCACTTGAGTTTATAAACATTAATGTCAATTAAATTCCGTAAGTTTCCGAGTTGTTTGGATCAGTTGAAATAGTCTATGTGGAATCCCACTATGGTATCTGACATGTCTATTTAGGAGACACGAGAAGTAGGACCTGAATTTGAATAATTTTTTATTATGTAGGCCTCAGCTCTCTTTACAAAATTCTAAAGGGGTTTCGTTCAGTGCGCCTTGATTTACAAAATGTTCAACGAAAAAATTTGCGATGGTATGTATACTAATTCGGAAACTGGTGTTACAAATTTAGTAGCATGGTTCAGTTAGCAAAACGAGCGACTGTCCTCTGCAGATTTGGGTTTGATTCTTGACATTTTGATTTTTTTTTCAAATTTTATTTTCCTTTAACTTCTCCATTAGCTACTAATCTATATACTCTGAATTAAACAATTACATTGGGATTTTATTTTGTTACATAGACAAAACACCAGGGGAAAATTAAAAACGTTTCCCCTTTTAGAAAACAAAAAAGTTAATAAATATAAAGTGTTATTCATCGCAGGAAACTGTGCTCTATTCGTCTGAACATCGCCAGTGCGTGAGATGATAATTATCGTAAAAAAAAAGAAAGAAATAGAATCTGAAAAAATATCTGAAATTCAAACCCGTATTTACAGCAGACAGATGTTTGTTTCGTCAACTAAACTACACTACTAATTGTGTAACACTTGTTTCCAAAGTAATATACACTCTTTGTTTCAAATTTTTTTTCATTTAATATCTCGCAAACCGAGGCTCATTGAATGAAATTTCTTTAGAATTTCTGTAGGGAACGAAGGCCTACTTAAATAAATAACAAAAAAAGAAAATTGATATTCAAATTCCAGTTCTTGTATTCGCTTCTTGTTAATGAAAAGTAATTAAGCTTAATAGCACAAAACTACAGTCTTATGCATGTTTATCAAAGGTTGCATTATCTTTACTGTGTATCATGTGTTTGCATATCATTATCTTTTGATCGTTATGTTTGCAAAGGAATGTGTAGAATTACACATGTAATCTTTCACTTCATTTTTTGACATATAGTTGTAAATTTACAAGTATGCATTACAAGTATTTAATACATAATTCAAGACAGGGTTGAGCTGATTTAAATCACGATTAAAATCATTAATCTTAATGAACTGATTTTCCTTTTTTAAATTCACGAATTCCTTTTTTAAATTCATTAATTAAAATAACGAAGTAAGATGCTTTTTGATTGCACCAACTAGGCAATTATTATATAATTGGACGTACGAATAATATGATTGAACGTACGCTTGTACGTTTAATTATTACATACGAACGTACAACAATAAAGGAAACATTTTTTTAACACTTCTGCAGATGACGCTACAATGTACAAAATGGGAATTATTAGATCGTGGCTTATAACTTCTCAAATTGAGGAAACACATTATGACAATTTTTTAGTAATATTGACTTATTTTAATCTTTTAAATGAGGAGTTAATTTAAATAATTAAGACATTTAAAAAATCGGTAATTTTTTATTTTCTCTAAATGAAATCATAATTTTTATGAACCCTGATTCAAGATTTTATTCACAACGTTTCTCTGTGAAATTCATTTATAATAAAATAATTATTAACAATTATAATAGCTAATGTTTACATTATTATGCGAATGATTATGAATATGAAGATATTAAGGGGATGTGAAAGTGGCATCTGAGAGCTCAATCGTTCATAAAACTTTTCTACGAACTGGGTGTCTCAAATCATTTCATACTTTAAAACGTGAATACGGAAACCCTAAGGTAGGTCCTGAAACTCGCAAATTTTCATTTTTTATAAACTATTTTAAAAATATCTATAAACAAATTTGAAAAGAATTGAAATTTCATGAGTTTCAGGACCTTCCTTATAGTCTCCCTATTCACGTTCTAAAGTTTCAAACTATTCGGTAAATCGAGTTGGGAGAAAAGTTTTATAAACAAAACCTCTTCGATGATGTACGTAAAGCTGGCATTGCCACTTTAGTACAGCTACACAGTAACATTAGGTAATTTTCACTTTGAAGTCAATTAATCTTATACATTGATGTGTGAATCTGTAGCGATGACCATGGATTCAGTCCCCTTCACTGGTGCTGTAAAGAAGGTCATATAAAATTAGCCGAATTACTGGTCAGCAGAGGAGCTCGCATAAATGCAACCAATAGAGGAGATGACACTCCATTACATCTTGCTTCGGCGCATGGACATAAGGAAATCGTTCAATTGGTAAAAATAACATTCCTTGTTATGTATTAATTAGCAATAATTATGCCTTTTTAACTGTATTTTTGTAATCGGCAGTTATTACGTAATCGAGCAGACGTTAATGTGACGAATGAGCACGGAAACACGGCACTGCATTATGCCTGTTTCTGGGGAGATCAGGCTGTTGCTGAAGAGCTGGTTGCTGCTGGTGCTCTGGTCTCCATTGCTAACAAGGACGGCGACACTCCTCTCGACAAAGCTCGAGGCTCTTTGGCTAAAAGATTGCATGGTATGAGTATTCCTTGAAGGAGATATATAAAATAAGTATCGACTTAAGTTAAGGGGATGTATGCAGTTGTTATAGGCGAAATTCAAGCATTTTTTTTTTTTCATAACTAAAATGCACTTTTAATCGAAAACAGAGCGTGATCTCATAGTATAATTATTGAACTTAATATATGATTTTTTTTTTGTCAAGATATATTAAAAAATTGGCGAGGTACAGCAATTCTCCGAAAAAGTTTCTTTTCGCGGTGATCACGATATCTCAAGAAGTATTTCACCGATCGGCTTCAAATTTGTAGGGCTCATTCTACACGTGGAGGACTGCCGAATGAACGTAAGTTAACCCGTTAACTGCGGAATTTACGGTAACGTTACGGGTTACCGACGTGTATACACGTCGAACGCAATTAACTGGTTAAGTTACCGAGGGAAGGTCGATGCGACTCTTTCAGGATGAAGGATCGTTTACAAATTTTAATCAAGAAGAGACTCTGTTAAAGTTAATGTTTGGACAAGAAGGATAACAATTATGAAATTTCCGAGTGTTGTGAATGAGCTTACTAGATTTTGGTAAGAGAGTAAAAGGTTGGGGGAATATCCGACTTAAATTAATCGGATCCTATGGAATTTGAATCCCACCGCTGTCACCTGTTCTGTAATGTGGCGATTGAGTGGCTAGCGAGGCTAGGGAATTTTGCAAATTACTCCTAGAGGTTCTGTACGCCCATGTTAATATATACAATTCAGGAAGAACGGGGATTTTTTTCTTTTCTAAAAATCCTGGGACTCTCGATCTTCGTTTACGTGGATGATAGGTTCCGCGGGTAAGGAGCGTTACGTGGGACGTAATAGGTGCTACGAGCGGTTTACCAAAACTACAAGAAGAAATTCCAAAAATTATCCTTAACTGTTTGAGTCCTAGGGGGTATTTGAAAAACCCTGTCGAAGAATCCCGAACAGCGCAATCGCGCTTTCTCTAAATGAGTACGAGAAGATCCAAACAGCGCGATAGCGCTTCATTTATTTTATGTCGATGAATCCTAATCGGCCCGATAGCGTTTCTTAAATTGTAAGATGTATTATTTACATTAATAGAAGGAGATGTACTTGGGTCAGTAAATCTGAGCGCGCGACTTCAACAATCGGTGATGCACCGCTAGTTGTCCACAACGCTCGAAATGTGTTGGGTTTTCTCGACGTAAAATCTGAACAGCGCGATCGCGATGCTTGGGACTCAAACGGTTAAGTAAAACTTCCACAATTAACGGTGACTGTCGTAAATGAAAAAAATTATATCGAGCCTAGGTTGTTTTATTTTCAATATATACTAATATTTCACGAAGAAACCAACCTGATAAAAATTGATATTTGAAATTTTGCAATAACTTTTGCAATTGTGTTTAACTTGTTTAATTTTTGTTTTCCCCATGTGTTAAACTTTAAAAGAGAATGATCTTTTATTGGAAATATTTTGTCGTATTTCTCTTCGTTCGCAAGAAAGAAAATAAAGACATTGTTTGTAACTCACCTGGACATACTCTAAATATCCCCAAATTTCAAAACTTTTTGAATTTCCGGGTTGGGGAACCTCCCTTGTTAGTTTGTCCATAATTCTCTCTATGTATGTCAGCGGATAGACATCATTCTTCGAGACTGCATTGACCGGTAGAAAGTCCAGAATCATGACCACGGGGGTGGACTATCCGCTATTCGATGATTCAATTGTGCCCATAATTATGAAAGTGGTCCAAGTCATATATTTCTTGTTTCGAGATATTTCATGAATTGCATTTGAATNGGGACAAAGTTTTTTTTTATTACTTATTACCTCGGCCTTACTCGCTACTCAAGGAAAGAGTTATAAAATTAAAATATATAAATTTCATTATTCGAAATTAACGTTGCAGGGTATTTGCATACGATTTTTGATTTACTGTATAAAGTATTGTGTTATGCTTATGCTGGACTGTGATTTTAAAGAATATTTATATCAATGTTTCTTCGTTTGTAATAGATTTGGCAGTGGATTTTGGGCAAGACCTAAAAAAGATCCAATTCAAGGACCAAAGTTGGCTTGGTCTAAAAACTAGAAGTCGTAAGTACTGTGCAGAATGTACCGCGGTAAATAATCTATGCCTAATTATACATTAATTATTGGAACATGTATCTTGGTTTTTCTTTTTAGGCGATGCGACATTATCCAGACACAAAGGAATAAGCATGGCGGATTTGGCCTTGCATACACATTTAGCGAGCAGTCCAAGTGGAGAGACGTGGCGAGGTCGATGGCAAAATAATGATGTAGTAGTGAAGATATTACATTTAAGAGAGTGCACTGCAAGAACCTCTAGAGATTTCAACGAAGAGTTTCCAAAACTCAGAATTTTCTCTCATCCTAATGTTTTGCCTGTCCTAGCGTGCGTAAACCAGCCTCCGCAATTGGTTACGGTTTCACAATACATGCCTCGAGGTAGCCTTCACCGATTGCTTCATGGTGGAACTGGGGTAGTCGTTGACACAGCTCGAGCTCTTCGATTAGCTTTAGACGTAGCTAGAGCGATGGCTTTCTTGCATGGATTGGAGAGACAAAACAGATGCAGGTTTCATCTCAACAGTAAACACGTTATGGTACGTTCTCTTACTCTTCTGGGTCATTCGTAATTAAGTGCAAAGATCTTAGGGAATTACTTAACGGCGTTCACCACCAAAGTGGGGACGAAGACTTCCACCGCTAGATGGCATTAGCATCGAATTCGGTGGGAGGTAACCAAAACGTACTTTCTCGCTCGGATGAGGGAGACGCGACGCATAATGGGCGGTGTTTAGCAACGGGCGAAAAATGTGTGCGTATTTTGCACGTATAGGACTCACACAACGGCTAGACGCCTCTGGACTAGGTGCCGAAACGTGTGTGACCCCGGCCGCACGCGCACGCCAGTTGGACGCTCCGCCTAGAGTCGGCAACAGTTACTAACAAGGAAACATTCCCAAGTGTCCGCCCCCGATCTTATTGATTTTCATACATGTTGAACAACACAAAAATCTAAGAGACACGTGTTTTTTTATATCTGCAATGGTCCGCATTTAAGAGGTGAAACAACCCCCCAAAGTTTGGCAAAAATTCGATTTGTATAATAATTTTCATAGAAGCAATGGAGGGATTTCGACGAAATTTGGTATAAACGTGTTCTGTATGTTCATACATGTTGAACAACACAAAAATCTAAGAGACACGTGTTTTTTTATATCTGCAATGGTCCGCATTTAAGGGGTGAAACAACCCTCCAAAGTTTGGCAAAAATTCGATTTGTATAATAATTTTCATAGAAGCAATGGAGGGATTTCGACGAAACTTGGTATAAACGTATTCTGTATAAGGACGGTGAAAACATAATATTGTTCAGCAATGCTACAACCCCCCAAGGGGGTGAACTACCCTTCTGGCGACATTTTTTTGTAATATCTATTAAACAAACACTCCTACTTAACTACTTGCGTTATAAAGACGTGCGACGCACGTCGAGATGCTTTTGTTCCAAAACTGCCAGCGACATGTATACCACGTCAATAGGATGTTATATTGTTGAGCGCGGCACAGCAACCGAAATTAAATCTTAGCGCAAGTGGTTAAGTTCCACTTACGCCATATGATTGCTCACAAAAAATGAAGAAATACGTGTTTTTTGCTTTTTGCCAATAAACATTTACACATCGGTTGTAAACAGTGAATGTAGTTGGTATACGGGTATATTTCCACTAGCTATATTGGGTTATATCGTGACCAATTCATTGTACATAAATCTTGTGAACGTACTAATTCCTCAAAATGTCGTTGGTTTTCATAACATGCAATTATTTATAAATAAATTTAAAATAAAGTTTAAGAGACTAAAATAGGTTCGCAACAGATCCGATAACGCAATCAACACCCGTTTCCAACTAGTAATACAATCTCCTTGGTGAAACGGTAAAATTAGATGTTTACTGTTTTTACGAAAATAGAATTAGCGATATTCGTTCACCCCCTTGGGGGGGTGTAGCATTGCTGGACAATATTGTGTTTTCACCGTCCTTATACAGAATACGTTTATACCAAGTTTCGTCGAAATCCCTCCACTGCTTCTACGAAAATTATTATAAAAATTGAATTATCACCAAACTTTAGGGGGTTGTTTCGCCCCTTAAATGAGGACCATTGCAGATATAAAAAAACACGTGTCTCTTAGATTTTTGTGTTCTTCAACATATATGAAAATCAATAAGATCGGGGGCGGACACTTGGGAATGTTTCCTTGGTAGTCGTCCGAGAAAGCAAAGCAGCCCCTTCTCATCCAAACGAATAACCTCCTCTAAACGTTATACTTCCTAGTCTTTTGAATTCTCATGAATCGGATTTGCGCTACCGTTGCCAAAAAAGTTTCTCTTCAAAAATACATGAAACCTCTTTTATTCAGATTGACGAGGATTTAACTGCTCGAGTAAATATGGCAGATTCAAAGTTTTCTTTCCAAGAAGTTGGACGAATTTACGAGCCTGCCTGGATGTCTCCGGAAGCACTCAGTAAACGCCCAGCAGATATAAATCTCGAAGCGAGTGATATGTGGAGCTTTGCGGTACTTCTGTGGGAGCTGGCTACAAGGGAAGTTCCGTTTGCCGATTTATCGCCAATGGAGTGCGGAATGAAGGTAAATTTAATTATCTTTCCATTTCACAGTTTCGCCACTTTAAATGTTTTCATATAAAAGCCTATAACGCAAGCATGGCGAATATGTCTCTTCGCAGCTGTCGAATACCCATGTACTTAAGAATCTAAAGTTGGCCTTTCTGCGATGATGAATATCAATAAACGGGAGGGACTGAGAGTAGTACAGAAAAGAATCTCGAAATGTCCTAAGACGAAAAAGTACACATGTTTGCGCATGCACAAAAAACGCGTATCCCATTCTTTTGTTACATAAGGTACCGCGTGTAAAAACGCGTATCCTATTCTTTTGTTACATAAGGTACCCCGGAGATAAGGTATTTAAGGTCAAGTGAAACCCCCTTCAAATCAGTTGATTCGAATACAACACTTTTTTTTAAGGGTATTAGACCAAACTGTCCGAAACTTTGACACGTCACTCCTGATCATATAAGAATTATCCTGACACATTGAAAATTTGGATTTTTCAAACAAATTTTTTAACTCAGTCCAGACCAGAACCAAAATGGCGTCGAGCTCTCATATTTTGATCGGTATACAATTATCGAAGGCTCTGATATGAGAATCGAAAAAGTCAGGACAATTTTACGACAATTTAGAACACTCTGGTAATCGATAAACTCGCATTTGAACGGGATAAAGGCAAAAAAAGTGTTGTATGCGCTTCTATGCCAAAACGATGGTAATACAAGGTCTCGGGGTGAAAATTTAATTGACCTGGAAATCACAGATGGCGCAGGGGGTCCCTCTGCAGTCAATTAGGGCCCCATAAAGTATGAATCCAGAGGATTTCTGAAGTTTGACTTCGATTTCTTTATAATTATTGTACGAAAACGATAGGTGGAGTATGCCATTTGGTACAATACCCAATATAATTCGATACAGTTATCAATATAAAAACGAACGTTGGCAGCGTAGACATTTAAAAAAATCTTCTTTATCGACGTTGATCAAGTTCCTCGACGTGTTTCACTTCACCTTAACACCGCGCGCTAGGGTATTTCTTATTAAGAAACTCTGAGCTAGTCATTATCTGCGATGTTCAGTCTGGCGCGTCAAACTTGTTGGGTCAACTATTGTCATATTGTAATTACATTAGTTACATACATATGTATCGTAATAACGCTAATGTCCACTTTCATTGATAGATTGCTCTGGAAGATCTGCGAGTGAGCATTCCACCAGGAATTTCTCCTCACCTTGCCAAGCTCGTAAGGATCTGCATGAACGAGGACCCAGGCAAACGCCCTTCATTTGATATGGTTGTCCCCATTCTTGATAAAATGAAACGTTAATGGATTCATTGTTACCCTCCCACGCGGGTATTCAGTATGTATTGAGCCTTGATGTATACTAATAGTCGCAACAGAATTTTTAGTCCTTGTAATCTGCGATTACTAACTGTTAACAAAGTGCCTCGATGAATGTATACTTACGATAGATAGAATATTGTGCATCTGGGCGAGAAAGTAGACATTTGCTGGACCGATGTGAAGTTTCTAACACGAGGCTGTAGTCTTCATATGTGTGGTAAATGCCTTCTTATCACCGAAGCACACACGATATTTTTTGCAAAATCCGCAAGGAAATGGTGACATACAAGCTGTTATAGAGAGTGTGGTCAATTTGCGAATCCCATCGGCCATGCGTCTTGTGATCGATGCGTGCTAGCTCGACAGTAAACGTTAAAGGAGGAAACTAAAAGTGAGGAAAAATCAAAGGTCAAAAAATCGCGGTGGCCTGAGCTGCGCATGCGCAAGTGTTTTGTTCTCACCGATCGGAAACCGACCACTTTCCGGATGTTCTATACGCGTGGAAAGACACTTTTCACGCGTGTTTTACAAAAACTGTATTTTACAATCTAATAGATGTGCCTAATTAAGCTTTTCTACGTAGGGATTTTTACATATTATATACAAATAATGTACACAAATATAATTTTATCACTATATTAACAAATAATTAATACGTTTAATTCTTCATTGCACATCCGAACACAATTCTATATTTAATTCTCATTCACGCGATAAGAACATGTCATTTCAATTTTATTAAACTATGTTTGTTTTGTAATTATGATGCATACATTTGTGCTAATTATGTAAAATAAGACCAAAATACTATTGTGTTGATGTGTCCCGTTGGGGAACTGTCACTTTTGGTATTATTGTTTCTTTAACCACGGAAGTGGTAAAATAAATGTTTATTAATTATTACATGTGATAGTACTTCTTATCTACCGATACCAGTACCGTTTCATGTTTTCATATGCGTGGAATAGCTGTATAAGTAAAAAAGGACATCTTAAATATCGATTAGAGCTAGGAAAAAACCTCCAATTCTACTCATTCACGAATACCTCTTAACTTTATTTCATGAACTTACTTATTGATGAACAAGGAACATTTTTTTCATTTCCTTAGCAATAAACCAGGAGGAGGCGAAATACTTCTATAACCAAACATTAAACGAGACTTATATTATGTAACGAAGGGGATTTTAGATAGCGTGGGAGATCCCCACTAGAACATATAGTAAACTAGAACGCTCGCCAATGTAGTTCGTTATCGTGCAGTCAAGTTACAAATTAAGTTTGGCACTATCGCTGATTGTGTATGATATTAAGCTTTCCTTTTAGACGGTACAAACGGTACACGTGCATTGGTTAATTGGGAGTGGAACAGTGATGGAGATTCACCCATCGTTTCATCTTTCTCGCACAAATGCTTATTGGACTTCATGCAACAAAGATGTAAATAAATCTATCTCTCTCTGAAACAAGCTTGGCGTATACGCTAAGGTCTAGTTCATACAGTGTTTCGTAACGGCCGGAGCCGGCCGCACCTAGAGGCCCCCTAGCGGCCCCCCCATTTCTGGGGGGTTGTACTCCCCACCACATCCGGCGACCCCACCACCACAGGGGACCCGAGGGCCCAAGACGGGCTGGAAAAACCCGAATGCTCCGGACCGCACGTTCAAACCCCGGGTGGCGCTAGCCGGACCGGGGCATCCGCGACGCATTCCCCGAAGGGAGGCCGCTTGACCCCGCCCGTTGCCCGCGGGGAACCTCGTGGAGGTCCCTCCCCTGCACTCGCGTGGTGCGAGCATTCGTGCAAGGCGCCAGCTGAGACGTAATGCTCCAGCGTGGTTTGGCGAGCTTTCCTGACCAGGTCGGATGGGAACTCGATCCATCGGCCGAGTAACCCAGCAAATATCGGATCGGTTATCCCGTCTATCGGCCCGTACTAGCTCGCCGGCCTTTTTATTACGGCTGGTGGGGCCTACCCCCAACCCGCACCCGGAAAACTGGGACACGGGACGGGTTACCCGACGCACCCCAGCCGTCCGGTCGAGAAGTATTCCCATGATTAGGGCCACCTTTCGCCGGTAACTCTACGGGGAACAAGAGTGCGATCAAACTCCGCAGAGCGAGCATCTCTCATGGTTCCCTAGTAGCCATTTGCCATTTCCATTTGTCGAGCTCTCATATTTCGATCAATATACAATTATCGAAGGCTCTGATATGAGAATCGAAAGGGGCAGGATAATTTTACGACAATTTAGAACACTTTGGTAATCGATAAACTCGTATTTTAACGGGATAAAGGCAAAAAAAGTGTTGTATGCGCTTGTATGCCAAAACGATGGGAATAGGAGGTCTCGGAGTAAAGACTTAATTGACCTGGAAATCACAGATGGCGCAGGGGGTCCCTCTGCAGTCAATTAGGGCCCCAGAAAGCATGAATCTAGAGGATTTCTGGAGTTTTACTTTGATTTTTTTATCATTATTGTACGGAAACGACATATGGTGTACGCCATTTGGTACAATATCCAATATAATTCGACACAGCTGTCAATATAAAAACGAACGTCGTCAACGTAGGCATTTAGAAAAATCTTCTTTATCGACGTTGACCAAGTTCCTCGACGTGTTTCATTTCACCTTAAATCTGCGAAATTCAAATAATCAGGAAACTCGGTAGAGTTTCGCGCCAAAAATACACTTACATGCGTTGTATACGTACGCGTAAAACGCCACCGAGTTCTGACGCCAAATTTGGGCTTGTTAAACCCATAAGAATTAATACCTCCGTATTTAAGAATTCCTTGTAGCCTGGGACTGAAATACATAAATAGAAATGGTTTTCGCAGTTGTTCTAATGTTTTTATTCAAAACCGAATCAGGTGATATTCATCGTAGGTTATTGTACATGAACAACAAAGGTATATAAAAACTTTTATTTTATTTCGAGAGGTTCAAAACCTTTACATCGTAGACCTTATAATCTGACGTACAAAGGTTTGCAAATGCCAATATAAGGTACTACTACGTTTAAGTGGCACGGCTTGTAAACCATCAATTATTGTGACAAAGCGACAAAGAATCATTCGAGTAAATCAATGACATACTGTTATGATTTTCAACCCTTGAATACGTTTTAGATTCTTTTAAAGACATTTCCAACAGGCACATCCCAAAAAGAGCACCTTCGGTGTAAAAAAAAAAGACACGAGTATATTTGAGATGTTATATTTCTTGATTTATAAGAGTCGGCAATTAATCCTTGACTGGTGAAGTAAAAATTGAAATGACGATATTCGATATAGTTTATACATTTCTATGTAACTTTGTGCAATATAACATTCTAGACTTCACGATAGTAAAAACTGAATTACGGGAAAATGTAAGTACAACAATACATATTTTTGTTTATCAAAAGATACAATTTAATATTTATATTATTCAATATTTTATTACTCTCTTTCTCTCTCCCTCGTTATCATAAAATATCATAAATTGACTTAATTGTACCCTCCTCTAACCACTCACGTTGCAAATATCTACCTTGCCAGTCAAGGGTTAACGAGGAGTTCACTAACGTAAAAATATAGGACTGAGTGAGAAAAACTGAAGACTAAGAACACAAATAAAACAAATGCAAACTTTATGTATACTGGCTAACATGAATGTCTTACAGATTTTATGCTACCACGGTCCAAGTTGTTTCTTAAATTTGTGGTTTCTGGGAATGACAGCGTCCGTTGTTATCAATGAGTTGACGTTTCACTTTATCAGTCTGCCTTGATGAAACGAATTGTAATGTTTCTGGGTGCGAAACATTGAACGTGGGTCATTCCCCCAAATATTAGCTGAGGAATAAGTTCCCGCCGTTTTAATTACGTTACATTACGTTAAAAACGGCGGAAACTTATTCCTCAACCTGAAACAATGAACCTTCTATCAACACTGGTAGCAGAATATTTGTAAAAAGAGAATTCATGTACGCCAGGGGGCATTATTCCTCCGCACATGTGTGAAAGAATAATCAGATGAGTAAGATATTCAACCCTCAAACTCATGAGCGGGGTATAAACCCACCCTAACAGGTTTCAAGCTTCGTTCCTGCACTGAGAATTTTTATTCATTAAATGGGTGTTTTATCAACTAAACTTCAATGAAATTATGAATTTGCTATTGACCATTCACTTCAGACTGGAAAAAATGATACATGAGGTCTAGAGTTAACAATAATCGGTAATTAAGGAATGTTTATGATGTTCTTACTGTGTTGGCAATATTAATAATAATAAATAATATTGGTTACCGAGCCTGATCCACTGTACCTCATGTAGATTATGTTTCTATGTACATGTTACATTTTTGCTCAAAGTCTGCCAATCCAAATTTATCCCAATTAATTTATTAAGTATATTTAAATAATATCGAAACAATGTAAACTTGTGAAAGTGTAGGTTATCACACTGAAAAGAAATGTATTCACTTAGTTCATTCTTAAACCAGAAGATAATAACTGAATCATTTTTCAACATAATCCTCCCGTTTGTTGTTGATAAACTTCTATGGTATCTCCTTCCTCCATCTCTAATGACGTTGGTGTGTCAATTTCATTAATTGGTTGGCCGTCAAATCGAAACCTTACTGCTGCTATCGCCAAGCCCTAAAACAATTTATAAGTTTTATGTTTCGGACTCTTGTGGAAAATCCTGAAATTTTCATGTTCTGTATTTTTATTAATAAATCAATTCGATACTTTTTTCTATTATTATACCCAGTATTTAATCCTAGTACCCGCCCGTGGATCAAAATAATCCTCTAATGTTTTTTCTCTTTTGTCATTTCCGTTACAAGGTCCCAGACCGAGGGGAGGAAAAATATTTCAACTGTACTAAGAATCTGTACCGTTATAACCGTTGGTTGTTTTCAAGTAGTGCAGCAGGAAGCAAATTAATTTTTCAAAATGGTTCCTGTGACTCACATGCGGGTTAATCAAAGTGTTTTGAGTTACTATGAATTAAGTTTTTTTAATTTCCAACTGCTGAATGTATTTTCTCGTACGTACAGACATTATTTTTGTAATACGTGATGTTTTGAGTATTTTCGAATCAATATTTGTATGTACGGAACCAACAAATGGAATTACAATACAGGACAATTCAGAGGGACACAGACCACTTGCATAATTTAAACATCGAATGCTACATGACATTGCTGCCGTCGACAGACATTTGTCGTTATAATGAAGATGCTTGGTAAACAGTTGTAGTAACAATATTGTATACATTGTTATTGTAATTTGTTATAGACATATGTCAAACAAGATGTCTCAACAAAGTCAGTAAATATGAAACCATTTACTGATATATCGCCTGCATAACATTGAAAATCATGAGAATTCCGAAGTACAAATTAATTGATATATTTCACGTTAAGTAATATAAAACATCCATTAATTTTTCATAAAACGTTCATTCGAATATTAGTAATATTCAATGCCTTACATAATTATATTTTGTAAACGACCGGATTCTAAAATTGTTATTTAAAGTTCTTGTAAGTAATTTTTGCGATTTATAAAAATTCAATGAAAATAATTTTTTCACGTTTTTAAAAAGACAGTTGCCTAACGTTTTTGTGTTTAACAATTATTAATTTGCTTAAAACGCACTTTTAATAATTTAGTGTTGAACTAGAAACATAAAGAAATATTTTTGGGGTTAAAATCCATGGAATATTGGAAAAGATATAGCAATTTGAAATTTTATCTGGTCATTCTAACCCAAGTGCATGTTCACCGAAGTTTTTTTACATGCATGTTTTATGGTTAACCATAAATGCATTTGTATTCCTCTATTATTGGATTTATTAATACAGCTTTTTCATTTGTACATTTTACGTATATCATAGTTCATCAGTGTTGTAGAACAAAAACATTGCAGCAGTTCAAAGTGCAAAAAAATGTACAAAGCAAGATCCCCAGGACTTTACTTGAATCCATTCAATTGAGGAAATAAAAATAGGATATTTTCAGCAGCGAGTACCCACATTTTCCGATCATTTGCACTGAGAATTATTTACACAAATAATGAAGCAAGTTGTACACTGTTAATTGTCCATTTTAAAATGTTCCTCCTACAGACATGTATCATCATTAAAGAACTCTTAGAAGATGTTAAAGTTAATGTACGAATGTACTTTCTAGCAGTTCTTTTTATGAAGTTGTTTTGGGTAATTTTAAGGCAAATATGGAATTTTTTTGATTAAAGATTAAAGATTAAAGATTAAATTAATACCACGATAACGTTAAAGAATTATGTTAATAAATGTTAATTTAATACAAATTAATGGGATTAACTAAAGGTTTAAAAAGAATATTTACTACACTAATTGAAAATAAACCCATCTAACATTATGTCAATATTTAATTCTTTATTTAATCTAAATCAACAGTATTCACCTGGCTTTTAATGTTTTAATTTTTATTCCAATATAGTATACTTTGTAAAAAGCAAAGAGAGAAACCATTTATAAGTTGAGTAATATTTATTTTTCATACTTTATGTTAATTAAATAAAAATATTTACAAATGTAAATCCATCGAAAGTATACACATTAACCCTTTGCGGACAAGACTTTTCCATTATAAAGGCTTTCGGGCGACTGAGAGTCGCCTCTCGTCCGCAAAGGGTGAAACCTTCCAGACAAAAGCTATTCATATTCAATTATCATAAATACATAGAAATATTTTGAAACAATTTACTCATTGCATTTAATCTTATTACAGATTTAACTCATTCTTTTATACACTGGAAAAATGTATTATATCTTGTCATTAAAAATGATAATGAATAATATAGTTTTATAACTCCTTTGTTCACAGCGTAACAAAATTACACAGTAGATATTGAAAATCACAGTAATAAATCTATCATTTTCAAATGTACTTGCCTCAGCCATTCGCATATAATAAATGCATGTATTAACCCTAAACACTGTGCTGATCTTAAACCATAGATATCTAGACCTCGCATTGCTGTTAAAGGGGTAAACTCGAATGTACTTTGTGAATCAACCGCACAAACTAGTGCACATTGTGTACATGTAAATATTGGACCCAATAGAACCTTAAACCATGTATGTGCTATTTTTCTTTGCAGTAGAAGGGGTAAATAAATATACCATGTGATCCAACCACTCACTCACAGTTAAAGCTATTCTACTTACTGAAAGTTTAAGAGTGGGAAATCTAATACGAGGTCTGGATATATTTGATTGAAGTTGCTGATAGTCAATGAAAACAATGAGTATTACAAGCTCGATTTAAAACACTCGAAAACTATACACGTGTTTATCACTTTAATGACAATGTATAACAACTGTGAATAAAACAATTGTTTTTTCTCGTTCTCTGATTGTTTAGACTTCTCAAATAACTTCTTACTCATTTATAAAAGAAATAATCATCAGAAGTAAATGAAAAACATTCAGATAAGATATCTATAAACAAGTTTAACAGAAACATTGTTATCAAATGTTCGTAAACTTTTAATTAATGCAAATCTTAAAAGGTGGATTACTAAGATTTGCAGATAACTTACTACACGATCACAGTACGCATTCATCAACTTTCGCAGTGGTGTATGTTTCTTTATTTTAAATTGAACTACAGCATTATCTTGGCCCAGAACTTTAAGGTTTATGTGTTCTGATTCCGACTTCGTCTCCTGTATAGAATAAACAGTATTTATATATTTAAACATTCGAAATTCCGAAACAACACTGATTTCGAGGTTAAAATATATTACCTTCTTATCTTCTGACATTTTTACGATCTACGATATAAAACGTTTCTTATTCTTAGGTTGGGAAGCACACTTCAGAAAAATTAACGTATAATTTACAATATTTAAACTTGTTACAGAAACACCAACATTAAGTGCAAACCCACCCAATAAAGATCCCGCTTTTTAATTTATAGTGTGAAAGCAACGCGTTGTCTAGGACCAAAACCCGGAAACCAAAGAGTATTCGCAAAGAGTACGTAGTAGAGTACCCATTCCCGTAGTTTCGCTGCTGCCGCCTACTGGCCAAGTATCGAAATTGTTCCGCACTTCCATGGACAAGATCCCTATTCCGCGTCTGATTCAAACACTACTTACCGACCCGAGAATAGAGTTCGAAAATTCTCGGTAACATTAAATTGGAGAAGGTAACTGTGAAACATACCGTAAGTTACCGGGAACGTTGAGAATTTAAGAGAACGTTAATTTTGTTATTTATACTTTAGGTTTCTTCGTTTAAATAACTTTTTTTTTTTCAATCAACTTCAAAGTTCAAGCTAAAGAGTAATAATTACTATTGTCGTATTTACCTCCAGCTAAAAATATTCACGTATCTACAACTTTACGGAAAATTCCATGCGATTTGTTTCAAACGAACTGATATTTCATTCTGCGACGAAGCGAATGGGAGGTTTTCATTGGCTACGGAGAACGTACAACGGAAATTCCTCTCTACGATGTTTCTCTATAGCTAATCGAAACCTCTCGTTTGCTCTGTTGAAAAATTCAAATTCTCATAATTTCTCGATAAAAAAGGCTTTGGAGAAATTACCGATAAGTTACCGGGAATTTCTCTTCGTTTCTGACGTAACTTACTGGATTTAGAACTCTAGTCCTCTCTGCAGGCAATCAGAATCTCTTATTCGCGTTACGTCGTCTGTCGCTGTAGTGCTAATGAAATATCGGCTTTACAGGTTGTTTCCACTAGTGCCATCAAGTGCCGAAGAGTGTGACTTAAGTCTGTTAAAGAAAAATAGCCATATTCAAAGCGCTGGATAAAAATACCCGACTCCCGCACGGAGCAGCCGCTGCGAGAAAATAAGCTCTTCAGTTTTGTTTTTTGCCCGCTGGTATTCGTTTGTGAGTGGGTTATGTAGTGCGTAAACGATCGGTGCATTTTTAAGAGATTTTCGCCGTGGGCGATCCGAAAGAACACGGAAATCTTCGCCGTTCGGTCTCTTTCAGGTAAACCCGCGCTTCGACTTTCGGCTGGTTTTTAATGTTTATTTGTATCTTGAGCTCCAACGGAAGTGTAACCTAAGAGGGCAGTGATTTTCGTGAGATACTAAAATTTGTTTCGTTCCGATTGATTCGAGAAGGGGCATTTCCAGTACGTACTTCTTCCCTTTCGTCTTCGGGAAAAGTCCGGGCGTTGTCATCGCAATTAAGAGGTTAAGGAGGTAATTGATTCAACTCGACCCTGGCAGGCAAATCCGAATTCTTAACCTATAGAGTGAAGAGAAATGATACAAAACGCACTTCACTTTTTAACGTACAAAAATGTGACGTATATATCAATATATAAACGTTTCGTGAACGGGAATATGTAGACGATTGAGTCTATATGAGTGTATTTACATTGGTGGAATGTTTGAGAGGTTAAGTGTTGTTCGGCTTCCTTAACATTGTATTCGATACGTTAATCTGCAGTTTTCAGTTTGTTATCATTTGGGTCTTTCCTGTGTCTTTTTCTTATATTATGTCCAGTTTAGCATGTATTTTATCCTCAAGAATATCACTATTCAACAGTTTAGACAAGTGTACTGCTCATTGAAATATTTTGTAAGTGGACGACTGGCATGGTGCTGCAATACGACATTCCATGTACGTTTAGTTTTGTCCATCTTTAAAGTATCCTGGAAACAAATGGCAATGGTATGGCTTAGTTTACAGTAATCATTTGGTCCACGTACTAAAGGTATGGATTTATTAAATTGTCAGGATAAACGATTGTGTTAACTTCATATGGTACACTCAAAATGCGTGATGTACTATCTTGGTACACCATTGTTGCATTGAGAATTTCATAAAACTACACATTTAGTACTTATATTAAGTGATCGGTGTACACTGAGCCTATGTGGTTTATTAGATAAGACATTTTCTGTAGCGAAGAAATGGGGGTATCGTAGTCGACCTTGCAGTACTGTTTAATGAAATGACTGACGTAAAGCGATTTATATAGGTTATTGTTAAACATAACGATTTGTATTATACTCTTTTAAGAATAAATATCATTTATCGCATTGTTTATTAATAAAAGCAGTTTCATTTAGTTCAGTAGTTGTACTTAGTTGGGAATTACATTCATAACTCTTTAATGCTTCGGTCTATATCTGAAACAACAATTTGTAATCTTAATTAATAAGAATAACTGGATGGTAGGCTTTTTTCATGAATGTACTGATACTTTATTTTTATATTGTTATATAAACATTTGATGAATAACAATATATATGAAATTAATTTACTGGCACTCAGCTTGGATGTTTGGTTAAATATTAAAATGAATTCAATAATCACTTGCTTTGTAATTTACTTCTGTGTTATTCTCTTTCACATTAAGTGAATGGCTCTTGCAGAATGTTTGCGCGAAAGTCCATTAAAGATCTAAAGGGTAAAGTTATTTTTCTAATTACATGAATTATATTTTAACATATGCTATTCTGATCATGCTCAGTAATCAATATACAGCTTACTACGTACATGATTGCGTTACATATTAATTGAAAGAGTGCACTTAAAGTTACTCTATTGCATATTCAAAATATTAATTAAAATTAATATTACTTTTTAATTGTTGTGTGAATGTTTACTTTTGCTTATTTTTTAATTAACATTTATGGATTTTATTCTTTCAAGAAAATTCATAGGATATGAAAATTTGGTGGTTTTATGTTTTAAAGTTGTCGAAAAATCTTGTATAACATATATGAGCTCCTCTTATGTTTATAATTTTGGAATGAGTGCTACAAAATTTATAATAGATAACATAAGAATGTTTGTAAAATGCTAAAGGCGAGCACAGTATTATTAAATTTATCATTAGATTAACAAAAAAGTATTTGAACTATTTTTGTGTTTATTAAGACATTTTTTGATAATAAAATTTGTCATGAATTGTAAGCTATGACATTTATGTAGGAGAAAGTTGTGGCTTGCGTTTTGTATCAGTTTGAACCGACTACATCCATGTTAATTATCAGACATGTAGTTGGAGATTCAAGAGGTTATTGATAGAATTTGACCTTGGGCATTGGATGAGATTCGTGAATGTAAAATGAAATCACAGGAAGCATGGTTTCTTTATATTTTCTTTATTAACATATAGGAAATGAAGCATATGTTAATGGATAAATTAATTGTTATTAAGTGAATGTATATTATATTATGGAATGATATAATATTTGATTTATATCTGAGAGTGATAATAAGGATTACTTAATAGCAAGAGTGTCCTAATATACTTTATATATAGTTTTCTATTTGAACATAAAAGATTATTCAGTGCCAGATTATTGCAATGTGCATATATGTATAATTATATTCGTCGATAATGTATAAAAAATATAGGACTATATTGGTTAAAGATAGAGCTATAAAGTTTAATTATCAATATTATCTAACAACTTAATTTTGAGAGTGATAATAACAATTATGTTAATCTGTGATTATTTCTGTGAATACATGAATTATAATTATAAATAATGGTACTTGCTTCCTGCTTAATAATATTATTTTTTTAGGTATTTAAAAGATATAAATAGGTCTAATTCATGCCTGCACGCCCTTTTTTCCTAGTTGTCACAGATTTATCTGTTTTACAGTATTTTAAACGTAGATTCTGTTTCCAGATCGTATATGCAGTTCGTTTAGTGTATGGATGCGGCAGGGTTGTGTCCGGTGGACCGATAATAGGTGTGATGCGTTCGTTAAGCGTCTTGGCCTCATGGCTGACGCACGTTATACCTCTATGCCAAGTGATTTGTCTACCGAATCGATTGCTGCTTTGCGATTATCTGAGGTATATATTTAATTTTGATTTTGTTTCTCACAGTCTTAGCTTTTCTCATTACAAACTATAAAAGGTTGTTAAAAGATTTTCTGCCGCTGACTTGCATGCTGACATAAAGTGACTCGAGGTTACTGATAATCAATATAACATTGAATGTGTTAATAATTGTAAAGATCATAAATATTGTATGAATTTACATTATTTTTATATGCTGTATGGATTATGGAAAATGGGTTAATATTTCTAGATTTGTAGGGAACTTATTTTATAATACTTATCTTCTATGCATATTCCAATGCCTGTTCATTAATCTTAATTGTTAAATTAAAACAATTGATTAATCATTTTGTTTTTTAAAGTATGGATCCCTGGATTGCCAAGATAAGTCATACCCTGACCGAAACTCTCTCAGTGGTCTTTTATTGTCAGATGACGCGAATGAAGGGGAGAAAGGTCCTAAGAGTGGCAAGGAGAATCGGGAAAAATATAAAACACACAGGAAATATTCTGAATTAATTCCATCCGTTGTCGATAGTGGATACGATAATTATGGGTTTGTAATACATTAATACCTTAAGAATTATACAAATTCAGGTACATTCAATATCTGTAATGTCATTTAAAAATTAATTGTTTAGTAACCATTTCTTTTTTATAATTTTGAGTTGTTCCGTATTTTAAATGATTTTAATGTAAGTTTAAAACCATTGATGGATTATGCATTATTTATTCAGTTATAAATTCGATGACACCAAGAATTTCTCTTTCACCATATTTAAATGTGTAAGTGCAAACGTTAATTACAAATATCCATTTCAGCACGCAAAGACTTTTTTAGCGAGTTACAAAAGTTATCTAAATAAATAAATAAGTAAAGTTGTTTATGAGTTTAAATATGAAAATTGTATGTATAAAGTTGCAGCAACATTTTGATAAGTTTCAATTTCATTAAAAGCATGAAAATGTGTCTTTACTATGTGAGTTTACGAACATCTCTATTTTTTCCTATTTTTTTAAATTTGAGTAACCTTTTGGGAAATATTTAAACATTCATTTATGAAATGGAAATGTCAGTTTTTAATTAGCAGAATTATGTAATTAAATAAAAATATGATTATTCAGGTTGATTTAAATGTATGCTGTGTTTTTTTTTATTTTGCATTTTTCTTTGACTCACCTTGTTCATTTTATATGGTAAATTTGGTACGAGTTAAAGTACTGACCAATTGGATGAAATTTGTCCAATCAATGAATGATTGGAATGTTTCATGATAGTGCATATCGGAACATTAAAGATTTTCTTGCATTAACGTAGAAAAACAAAAACCAAGATGTCGGTAACATGAATTAAAAGTAATTAAGTACTGTTTCACTTAGTGTGTAGTGCTTTCATTATTGAGAATAGCTTGGAATTATAATTTATTTATATCTGTTAATAAAGGAGTAAACTCACATCATAAAATGTTAAAGGCCTAGAGAAGTAATGACCTTACCATACCTTATCCTATAACGGTGTTTTATTTTTCTTTAGAAGTTCAGCTGCATGCAAATCTAATTCTCTACCAGGACGATGCAACAGCAATACGTCGCCGTCTAGCACAATGGTTGCTACAAATATTCCAGCGGAAGATTTGGCGACTCAGCTGACGTTATTGGACTTACCAGCATTTAGATCGATTCGTCCAGAAGAATTATCGAGTTGCTCATGGAACAAGAAAAATAAGCTCATAGTAGCGCCGAATGTAGTCGGTTTCACAAGAAGATTTAATCATGTTAGTATAACATTAAATGTTTATATACATTGGAGTAAATTGTTAATAATGTGTGCAGGAAATTACTTAGGTTATGATACCAGTCTAGACAATATAAAAAAATTTCAGAAAATATAATCTTTAAAGATTGATGAGGAAATCTTAACAAAGTATAAGCAGTGTTTTTAAATCAGCGTATGCATTTGTTAACAATATGCTTTTCATGTTGAACTTTTATGTTTCTAACGAAAGTATTGTCCAGTTAATTCAGACAGGGCAATTATCTTTGTATTGTCCAGGATATGTTAGATATTGACCGCTATTGTTACAGAATATGCATTGTAATGCATATTTAGAGGAGTAAAAGAGAGTTTATATTTATTGTGAAATTTCTTGAATATTAAGTTTAATGATCTTTTTAGCAAATACTGTATATTAGTATAATTTAACAACCACACATCATATTTATTCATATTGTCTTGCAATGCAATGTTCCGATGAGAGAGTTTTCGCGGGTTTGTAAAGTATGTGCACTCGGTATATTCAGAATTCTTTAAAAAATTGGGGAAACAAAAATTTTGTTTCAAAGAAATGAAAATGTTAATTTTCTGTGCTCAATATTAAGGAAAACGTTGTACTTAATTACTACAGTTGGCCAAACTTATATTTGTTTTAGGTCAGTTTTTGGACTGTCCAAGAAATTCTAAATGCTCCTACACCAAAGCAACGAGCAGAGATCTTGGCTCACTTTGTTAGAATAGCGAAGAAACTTTACGACCTAAACAATTTGCACTCACTATTTGCAGTTATATCTGGAATGCAAAGTGCTTCGATATATAGGTACGTAGTGAATTGTCAAATATTCGCATTACATGCAGAGTGTTAAAAATATTATTTACGTAGTAACTGGGATTAGTTTATTATCTGATCAATTGTGCTCTTAGTTTTGAATTCTGAGTGCATTCATTAAACTTAGTCATAAAAATGATATAACTCCTAGATTAAATAAAACATGGTCATACCTCTCGAAGAAGGATAAGGGAACCTTTGATAAGCTCGCAGAAGTGTTCAGTGACAAGAACAATTGGATGAATCTTCGAGAACACATCGAGTCCCTTAAACTTCCATGCATTCCATACTTGGGCTTGTTTCTTACCGATCTTGTATATATTGATATGGCTCACCCCGCCTCAAAGGTAATTATGTTTGAAACGATTCAAGCGACACGTGTGAACGGAGCGGGTTATGTCGTAAGAAATGTAACGTCTGCAATGTTGTGCAAAAGTATATTTCTGTTTCAGAACAGCGACAATCATCAGAGGACTTTAAAAATGGACACAGTATTGAATAGAGTAGCGGTATTCCAAGCTAGCGAGTACACAGGAATAGTTCCACTACCCGATGTTCAGCGGTACTTAAATAGCGTCCGCTACATCGAGGAGTTACAGAAATTTTTGGAAGATGATCATTTTAAGTACGTGCTACATTTTTGAAAACGTTTTGTCCTGTTTTTTTTTCTCTTAAAAAAAGTCTTCCAAATGTTGAACAAATCTTCAACGAATGTTGATGAAAATTGAGCGATATACCTTCTGTAAAAATAGAAAGACGGTGCAACTTAATTTTGGTCTAAACATAAATGATATTAAGAAACTCGGTAGAGCTTCGAGCCATTCTTATATCTATAAACTTAATTTTTGATTCATGGAAAACCATCTTAACTCTACCAAATTAAAATTAGAGATATATATGGAGATCAGTTTAAAATAGATTTTTTAATATCATATACAATTTATTACCGATAAAAAAATATCCAATTTTCCATCGCTACTATATAAATTGTAAAGAAGGTAAAACAAACAACATATTGGATTGTATAGGACAAAACGATAAAATAGAGAAAACATAAACGTAGTGTCCGATTCGCATGTTCATAGGTACACGTAAGATTACATAAAGATGATTATCACTCTTGAAATGAATTTAAACTTTGTATCCGGTTTCTTTTTGGTTAAAAGCAGTTTGCACGTTTACTAAGGAAAGTTTATATAAATGTTGGATATTTTTCTATTCGAGAGTATACAAAACAAATTAAACGTCTTCAGAAGGTTATAAAGCATGTAAGAAATTTCGTAATTGTCTTATTAAGGCCCTAAAAAACGTGAGTCAGTAATTTCTTCATTTGTCAGAAGCGAGGAAATCGTATGAAACTTCCATTCGGTATTTTTCGAAACGAATGACATTTTCCAGCAAAGACAAGTACTGGGAGAAACTAGATATTCACGAAATGTCTTAGTAGGTCTGTTTCTGACGGATCATGCACTAGGAAATAAGATATCACGTCCTGAAAATTAGCCTACCAAGACCAGTAACAGGTTTACATCTCAATCACAAGACATACTATCTAACTAATCTGATAATATATATATCAGACATATTATCTGACTAATATATATGAAAATTGGTCTACCAAGGCCAGTAACAGGTTTACGACTCAATCACAAGACATACTATCGTCACAGACACGGACTGTCCGATACATTTTATACGTTTATTGATTACTTCAGCACTGATAACTTCACGGAAAAATAAATAGCCTGGAAGAATACTGGAGGGGAATTTTCCAATGTTCTAGCTGTCATTTTTCACGCCTCGAGTTTGGGGTATCTACCTCCAAATGGCAGACTAGATGCATTATAGGAGATCCTTATTATTTGAATAAATATCTGAGAGTCTGTATCGGGCATTATAAACTCATCAAAGTTCACTTGAACCGAATACTTGAACGTAAGATTCGATCCTTTTTATTAAATGAGTCTCGATCGTGCTCGAACGGGAAATGTCAGGTTACGAGAAAATCATATTCTAGCGATTATCGCTTTATGCCGAAGTGACAACTACAGATCGCACTGGCAATATAGCTATACATGGATTTTGGATTTGTCTCTACACGTGTATGTGTGTTTGCTTGCGCCCTGTCCTTTTCTTTCTTTGTGTCGTACTGTCAGCCGACTCTTGAGTGAGATTTTGAGCTTCGAGAGAAATCCAGATCCTAGCGATTGATGTCGTTCTGCGTGACCTTGGCAATTATTGAATAATGCAATTATTTTCTATGGCTTAGGCTTCTCGCAGTGACTTGCATTAATTTGCGCAAGTAAATTGCGGGGTGTACTTGTACTCAGAATTTTTTGGGACCGATGGTGTGAACAAAATTAAAGTCCTTAATACGTTTCGTACCACGTGTACCACCGATAATAAGCGGTGTACCTCGGGTGGTACACAGCGTGGCACGGAACGTGCTAAAAACGTTAAAATCTTCCTTTTCACTATTTTTATGATTTTTTTTTTCTGTAGCTCAAGGTTCCGACAGTAGCTTGAGTTAATTGTGGGCGTACCCTGGGGATAGTACTTGAATTCAGAATTTTTTTAAACCGATAGGGATTGGTCTTGACAGCTAGGAAAATGCAGAGCCTCCCAGAATCCTAAAAACGTTAAAATGGTCATTTTCAGAACTAGTTTATTTTTTTTTAAAGCTCTGGTTTTTGTAAAAAAATGGCATGAACGAAACTCAACATGGCACAAACGCCTACATCACAGAAACATTCCAATAAGCCTGTTAATTTTGTTTATGCCTCAAACTGGATTCCAGGTCCACACTGCCGTTTTAATTGGAGTTTTTAAGCAGAAGACTCTTAGTCATTAACTTCTTTTGTACCCATGCTCTAATTTATTTAAAATAACCTTACTGTTATGTTCTTCCTTTTTCTACGTTGTAATTCTATACGTGTTCTTTTTTCTACACATTTCAGATTGTCTGTAAAATTAGAGCCAAATTCACCGGTTGCATCCTCCAGCAGCAGCAAAGAGTCAGTTGGAGATGTAGCTATCGGTGTTGCAGCTCTGTCACTGTCTCCAGCTAGAGGATGCGCAGGATCTTTAAGATTACACGCAGCATCGGCAGCAAACAAATTCGTCCCTGGCCACCGCAAATGTAGGAGTCTCGGAACGAAGTAAGTAAAATTACACAATCGATGTATCATTAGTAATAATTAATTGTTATTAGGTCATGGTGTAAAAATGGGGCTCAAAATTTGTACCTTCTTTTAGTTCCCAGAAAGTTGTATTATTAGTGTACATACATTCCATATTTATTGCACTGTATATGTCCAATTTAATCCCTAATGTTTTATATTAATAACGTTTGCGTAAATGAGTTTATAGTTTTATTCTTCATATGGAGCAGAATTATCCATGTTTGCTTCTGCTCTTGAAAAAAAATGAAATTTTCTTTTCGGTATCGGGTCATCGAATAGACAGCTATTAAATATTAGCAATTAAGACTTCCATTAGAGGTGAGTCGGTCATTTTTAATTCGAAGACGTCAGAGGCGAGAAAATCGCGTGAAATTCCCAGCCGGTATTTTTGCGAAACGAATGACATTTCTAGGCATTGTTTGGGACTCGATGAAACTTAGATATTTACGAAATGTGTCAGCCGGTCAGTTTTTGACGGATCATGCATTAGGAAACGAAATAGGCCAATGATAGGCCTATGATTTCCAACAATAATGCAACAATAAATACTTCATTATAAATACGGACAGGCTGATATATTTGACACATCCACTTGGTATTACGGCACCGATTTTTACGAAAATATAAAAAGTCTGCTGAAATAACGGGAGGGAATTTTCCAATGCCACATCTATAATTATTCACGCCTTGAGCTTGGGGCATCTACCTCCAGATGGCAGACTACGACTTTAGTGGCACCACAGTCATGGCAAACAAATCAGAGGTTTCCATAGAAGCTCAGATAGATACGGAAATTTGTTGCTCGAGAAATGCTATATTAGTCATCGAATAGCGGCGCTGTAATCATTTCTTTGTCTTTCTTAATCTTACGGTAATATATAGTGGTTAACATGCGTTCTTTATTTTATTTACAGTACCTGTCTTTCTAGTCGTGTCTCCTTCCTCTCATAAGTGAGAAGCCGTTGACTAATACGTGCGATCTCTTTTTTTATCCCCACTTGTGGTTTGTTAGCCAACCTTCAGTGTAATAAGGGCTGACATGTGATCTGGTTTTCTATGGAACATCTGAATTCTTTACACAATCACTTATTTAAATATTTTCTCTCTTTTTTTATCCCCACTTGTGGTTTGTTAGCCAACCTTCAGTGTAATAAGGGCTGACATGTGATCTGGTTTTCTATGGAACATCTGAATTCTTTACACAATCACTTATTTAAATATTTTACAAATGAATACATAAAAAAGAATTGTAAATCCATATTTTATTGAGAAAGTATTCTTAATTGCGTTCTATTTTGAAATCACTCAACAATTCAAAACCTTATAATTAAAAAATTAAATTTAGTTTACCGAAACCCAAATTGATGTTGCTAGCGCTACGTAATTCATAGTTGCCACCATTACGTAGAGCGATGTCAGTTGCTAGGATTTGAATTTCTTTCGTAGCACAAAATTTCACTCGAGAGTCGAGGGCTGAGAAAAAAGGAAACAGAAAGAGAAGGGCAGAGCGCAATTGAATACACAAGCAAATATGCATACATATTTAAAGATAGATTCCAAATTAATGGATGGCAATGTTGCCAGTGTAACCAGGCACCGCACGAAGTGAAATATCTGTATATTACCCGTATATAAATGTTTATTGAATGAATATATATATGTATTGTGACGATGCACCCTATGGGCGATCGTCCCAGGGCTCCCAAGGTTAATCATTAATCCTGGAAAACATTAAATCCTCTCCGAAGGCAGTCGAATTATATTTTATTTGCATTTATTTCATCCACGTCTTATTTCAGCACGCCTCGTGGCCGAGGAGCCGAGGAGGCCGAATATCCGTTGCGCTACCTTTAATTTTTTTTGATAACATAAGTTGCATATAGTTTAGACGTTAGGACGTTCTCGCGGTGAGGCGAGTGTGGACAACACGAAGACGGCAACATCCATCGCGGGACAAGGGCGCCTTCGAGGGACTCCGGAAGAGGACGAGCGGCGGTGGCAAAGGAGCCTCGCCCCGCCGTCGCCCATGGATCCTGGGGCCACGCGGAGTAGGGCCAAGCCGGGCCACCCACGGCCCCGTGTCTGACGGCAAGGCCCACCGGCCGTAATAAGAAGGCGGCGAGCTAGTACAGACCGATAGATGGGAACGCCCCGTTCGACTTCGCCGAGTTATCTCGGCCGTTGGGCTGTGCTCCCATCCGCTTTAGCTTGGAACTCTCGCCAACCCATGCTGGAGCATTGCGTCTCAGCTAGGGCCTTGCACGAATGCTCGCACCACGCGGGTGCAGGGGAGGGACCTCTACGAGGTTCCCCGCGGACAACGGACGGGGTCAAGCGGCCTCCCTTCGGGGAGTGCGTCGCGGAGGCCCCGACCCGGCTAGCGCCTCCCCGGGGTTTGACGATCGGTCCGGAGCATTCGGGTTTTTCCAGTCCGTCTTGGGCCTCCGGGCCCCCTTGGTAGTGGGGGCGCTGGAGGTAGATGGTTGTCTAACCCCCCAGAAATGGGGAGGCGGTAGGAAGCCATTTTGGCTCCAGGTACGGTGGGCCGCAAGGCCTATAGCGCGCTTGTCTGACGGCAAGGGTCGACCCATGGCGGCGTCGCTGGGTCACCGCGTCCGTACCCGGATTTCCGGCCCCTCACCGATGGTGAGAGGAGGGCGCATTGCCGGAGGCCGTGACCTTTGACTCTAGGGAGCCCCTACAAGGGCGGCGAGGGGGGTCTCATTTGCATCGCCCTCCTGCGCCGAGGCCAGGGTGCGGTGACCCCAGAGCGGAAGGGCCCACTGGTCCTCCCACTTGGGAGCCGTCGTAACAGGGGCTGTCGGCACCCCGGGCTACACCTCGAGGAACTTTGGCTCAAGGGAGCCCAGGACCGGCGCCACCGAGTCCCCGTGAAGCCACGCCCCTGGACAACACCCTCCGCCAGCCCGATGACGTCACGCTCCAGTCGAGCGCCCGATTGGACCACGGGCGCGACTTCAATTCCGGCGCGCAAATACGCGCGCCAGGTCGGCTCACGCCGCGGCTGACAGAGCTCGGAATTTAGGAAAGTTCCGAGCTTGACCGCTGTCAATTGGCCGGCGCAAGTTGACAGCCGATGGCATCCAATCATCAAGAACTTTGAGCCGCCGCCGAGGAGCCGCCTAGCTTGCCCAGAGGACCACGGCGAGGACCCGGCCTTCTTGGTCTTCGAGCGTCGAGCTGACTGGACGTTTCCGAATCTCTCATCGCTACCTTCCAGACTTCACAGATTGCATCGCTGCTTTCCAGACTTCACCGATTGCATCGCTGCCTTTAAGACCTCGCCGATTCTGTCGCGGCCTTCTTGCCCATTCACAGCTACCTGAGGAGGGTCGTCGCACCTGGTGGCCTGCCACCAAGGGAGCATCGTCGCACTCGCCGAGCCCGAGGTTTGAACGTCTGAGCTTTTATTAGAATTTTGAGTAGGATTTGGATAGATTTTTCATTTCGCGAATTCCCCGGGTAAATCGAAATGAAGACGTGGATTAACCATCCATGGTAGATATCTACAATTTATAGTATTACGTATCATATCTGGACATCTAGCCTTTGAGTGTATCTAAAATAGAGTTCATATATATGATGAGTCTCACCTTCCGGATGTACTAGCCCCCGGGATTCCGTCCCGACTTCCTCACGTCTCTCCCTTCGCACGGTCTCGTGGGCCCCAAGGGGGCCTGGAAATGTACGGTACTTTCTAACCTTTTCGCGTTACCCTTGGAGTCCCCGGAGATCCCGAATTGTCCTTATCTTTGTGGTGGTGGTCCTGGGATGGGCGAAATTCCGTCACAATATATATTGTTGTATCCGGGCACCCGGTACACACTTCTTTTCCAACCGTCTTTTATACGTCTCTCAAATCATGATGTATGGTCACTAGCCAGAGAGGAAGTAAATAAAAAATCAGAGTATGGACGAAAATAACAGTTTTATCAAGTTGGAATTTAGGTATAAACATTATGTATGAAAAATGTTAGGTTATATGAGGTGTTTTTATTGTTCTAAATGTATTATCAATGATGTTGATTAACCTTTGATAGATGTCTACCAAAGCTACTATATATTTTGTATGCATCAAGAAATAAGTAGATATTTATAGATCAATAGTGGATATATAATTTTCGTTTGCAAGAGACATAGATATTCGTATAGATCGTTTAGATACTTATTACATATATTCTACAGCCACATACATAAAATAGATCTATATACTTACAGAAGATTTTTATTAGGCGGATGCTAGACGATATACATTTGCTATATACCTACAGATCTAATTTATACGGCTAATATGCGGATACTCCACGTTGTGCGGTGCCTGGGTAGTTGCCACTTTGGCGTAAAGCGATAATCGCTGGAACTAGATTTTCTCCTGTTGCCAAAAACAAAGGATTCAGATGTTCCATAGAAGCCCAGATTTTGTCAGCGCTTGATGCTCTAAAAGTTGGCTAACAAACCAGGAATAGGGGTAAGAAAGAGATCGCGTGTGTTAGCCAACGGTTAACAAATGGTTAGCAAGTAGTGTGTGTAAGATAATAAAAGAATACAATTCGCTATACATGGCCGTAAGATTAAAATAGACGGAGAGATGATTGCAGCGCCGCCATCCGTTGGCTAACATACTATTTAGCATCAAACGTCAGTATTCTTCTGGGCTTCTTTGGAGACTTCTAAATTGTTTGCCCAAAATTTCTCCTTCGAAAGTCGTATAACGAAACGGGGCAGACGTTCAAGTCTTTAGTTCGAAGAAAATAATATGGGTTTATTCAGCACGTGCTTATTTTAATGATAAAATATGTGCGTGCGCAAACAATTTCATCTGAATTAAAAGTGCTTACAAATTACGTTATTGAATGTTTCATATGAAATTAGCCGTTTTTTAAAATTTGCTTTCTTGCAAGCACGTGGTTATTTAGTAGCTCTGAAATGAACACTTGATCGAGTTAATTGTTGCA